TGCAATTTGTATAGGTAATCACATGATTTCGAGTGCAATTTGGAATAAATAAGCACGAGTAAATTTTTTCAAAGACTAACAAAATTGCATGAGCCCGTAGGGCGAGTGCAATTTGTGGTCTTTGAAAAAATTTACAAGTGCTTATTTATTCCAAATTGCACGAGAAAATCATGTGATTATCTATTAATAATATACATGAAAAAATACGAGGTAGCTTCTCATAACTACGCAGAAGAAAAGCGCGCGCATCACGTGCAAAAATAATTTATTCAAACCCTGCAAGTAACATTGACCTTGACATTAACATTGACCAATCATTCTGACCAATCAGAATGTCTGGTTTGTTTCTTTCTTTGCACTGAATTAACTCTCTTCTGCACTGAATTAACTGAAAACTGCATTCATCTTAACCAATCACAACTAAGAAATATTTTCATGTATATTATTAATTATAAAATAGTTGTCCTTTCCATGAGCTCTTCATATGTGGCATGACATATACTGCTAATTACAATTCAACTTGGGTATGCTAGTACTTAGTAAAAGTCAGGTACTATGTTTCACTATTCACTCCTTTGTAAAACTGTTTAAGTAAATCCACAGTGGCAACATGACTGTTTTCTATGTGTGTGTTAATCAAAGTTTAATGTTTATAACTCTCATGTTCAGACTGCAGTTCACTCAGTGCTTATTTAGACCAATGCCCCACCAGTTTTGATCTCTTTTCCTCACTAGTACTAGTGGTGAGCAGAATTCATATCAATTTATAAATGGCTGCCAAATGAGATTTAAAGCCTTTCAGATTTACACCAAAATGTTGAGTTCCCTATTTTTTAAAAAAAAAATAGAATGTACATATTGTTTGTCTCTGATCTCCCTTTACATTGGATACAATGTTTTGTAGGCAATGGATGCAAACCAATGTTGGGATGTTGAGGAGGCTGTTAGTTATATGATGCAATTGGCAAAATTTAAACCAGTGTGGATTGAGGAACCCACTTCACCAGATGATGTGTTAGGTAAATTAGCTAGCAGTAACTATACACTTTTAGATTCCAGCCTGTACTCTCTTTACTCATGTAGAGAAACTCAATAAGCTTCAACATGAGAATCAAATGGTTCATGTACATTTCAACTTGGACCCCACAGCTTATGCTGTATTAACTGCATTTGTACACAATCAATAACAGGAATTTAGGGGATGTTGCTAAGTACAAACCTTGAGTGATGCATTGGAACACGGGGATAAGTACTCAGGGGCAGCCACCAATTGATGGGCGTTTCCTTGAGTTACAGTTGATTTTTCTTTTTTTTGGTTTCATCATTCAAAGTAAAAAGGTAATGGCTCTTATCTCACTGATCAAAGACTAAGAGCAATAATTAGTTTTATCACAAGGGGTAGTAGAACTCCTTGTGAAATTGTTGTCAGAAACATGGAGACGCCCCCACGCTGGAACTATTTCTCTATCTTTGAAACCAGATATTTCATATTGTTTGTGCAGTGACAGTTGATTGTAATAATTAAATTAGTGATTCTCATATTACCTATTTATAGAGAAGCGATTACACAATAGCGACACAATAAACAAGATGGAATTATGTCTTCACTTGTTTTACTACAATTGTCAGCTGAAACCTGAATGAACATCAGAAACAGGTAAAACTGACAAACTGAATTTTCCATAGGATTCAAGTAATTACTGACTAGGTTTTTCAATGTGCTTTATTTGAAGTGGACAAACTCAGTTTAAGCAGCCTCTTTGAAGAGAAAAAATTGGAACTGCATTTAACAAGACAGCTTCAATACTTGTTTAAGCTTTGGTGTGAATGGGTTATATAATTAAACTTTATTCTGATCTGATCCAACCATTAATCAGGTCATGCTGCAATTTCCAAAGCACTGGAACCTCATGGAATAGGTGTGGCCACAGGAGAGCATTGTCAGAATAGGGTCATCTTCAAACAGTTTTTTCAAGCCAAAGGGTTTCAGTTCTGCCAAATTGACAGCTGCCGCATGGGTGGATTAAATGAAGTTTTGGCAGTGTTACTGATGGCTGCTAAGTTTGGAGGTAAAGCAGAGTCTGATTGTTGAAAGTTAACTCTATACACCTTAACATCAGTATGCATATTCTCCTTACTTTTCACTATACATTTCCTAAGGTACTGAAAAGGATTCTTTGTTTAATAATCAGGAGCTTATTTATTTATTTATTTATTTGATCATTTGCCACTTAATTACCCACACACATACAAAAATAAATTACAGTTGTTTACAACAATCAAAAATAACAACTATAATATCAAATTACACTTAATCCATATAAAATTACTATTTATGATCATTTATAAAAAGTGTGGTGAGTAAGCCCAGCAGAAGCTAGTAGCTTATCAAACCTGGGTTCCTCACACATGTAGAAGATAGATTTGCCAATTACAGGCAGGCAAGTTTAATTTACCTTTATGTCAACGAAGAATTTTTTAAGTGAAGTCTTAAAGGTGGAGAATCTGTAGGATAGGATAAGATCTTGAGGTAGGGAATTCCAAACCTTTGGACCTTGGTGCATGATTGTAAACTTCTTGATATGAGCTTCTTTAATTGGTGATCCTTTTCTTTTATTCTCATGACCTTAATGTGGGATTCGGGGATGATATTGTAAGGAGAAGTTAGATACCAGTCACTCTTAGGGGTCAAAGTGTTAAGAAACTCTAAGGAGCCACAAGGACAAGGAAGGATTAGCTTAGCATGCTGGACTTCAGGTAGAAAGGTTCTGATTTGAGCCTTGACTGGGCTGTTGTGTTGAGCTCTTTACATAACACCCCGACTACTCTTGGCAGACTGGCAGGAAACCTAGAAAAAAAATTAATGCATGATGTTACTTGAGAAACATGGCAAAATTCTTAAAAGGGACACATCAGGTGCCTCTGATAGACTAGCATCGTATCCAGAGAAAGTATCAAATGATTACTCCAACTTCCTTGATACTGTGGAAACTGGACTGAGCTCTGGTGGTATAAACCATTAGGGTTGTGTGCAAACTTTGCAGCAGAGTTCAAGAGAACCTTCAATAACTATCTCTAGTTTTGTCTTTATTTTTAATTAGCAACCCCAACACCACTTTTCCAAGCTTTATTTCATATAAATTTTATTTGGCTGAATAAAACGTTATCTAATGATGAATGTATAATATTTAGTGTGCAATTTCACATTAGATATGCTTAGATGGGTTTTTTAGCATAAAAGTGCATTACAACTGTAGATTACACTTAATTATGGTAAGGTGAAAGTGTAACTTTCATGACATTTTTTTCTCGTCAGTTCCTGTTTGTCCTCATGGTGGTGGTGTTGGCCTGTGCGAATACATTCAACATATTTCAATTTTTGATTTTATCTGTGTCTCTGCAACCTTAGAAAACAGGTATGTAGTTTTAAATAAGATAGATGCAGACCAGATAATGAAGATAATAGTCAAATCAAAGTAATTCATTACCATGGAAAATTTGGCACACTATTCTCACTTGCGTAAAAGCCACTGCATGTCAAATTAGTAAATCAGATAACTACGCACTATTGGTGCAGAAATGCTATTGGCCCTAGAAGTCCCTAGGGAAATTCTCTAGACCTTTTATAACCTGTTGCATGCAATATCTCTCTCTTCTCACAATTCTACTGATGCCAAAGTCTCTTCAAATTTCCCCAACATGCTCCCCTTCAACAGCGCTAGCCAATTCCTCTTTCAGCTCACCCTAAGCCTTATGCAAAAATTTCTTTCACCTATAACTTAACTATCATAGGCAAAAGGTGGCTTTTTAGGTGAGTTTGAATTCATTACTATTGAAATAGAATGACAAATAGCAGGATCAATGGCAATTTTACTAAGAGAACCTGCATACCTCCCCTCCCCTAACCCAACATTAATCCTAACATGTCGTCAGTTGACTGTTGTTGGGTCCGAGGAGGAGTAGGTCCGCAGTTGCTCTGATACTCATATTGACCTGAATAATGTTACCTTTGAGAAATTATCAGTATTTCTTTGCACTAGCATGTTTCTTGATTGATGGTATAAAATTGTGATCCATCCCATTCAAATTGACCAGTATTACCTGTGCCTATATTGAAAAAATATGATCAACATATGTAACTGTTATGCAAACTAAAGACCTTTTATGTAAGGGATCTTCACTTTCTTTAATGGTCTACAGGGTAACAGAGTTTGCAGATCACCTTCATGAGCATTTTATCCATCCCTGTGTTGTAGAGAAAGGAGCTTACAAAGTTCCTATGGTAAGTTGATATGAAAAAGACAAGGTTTACTGATCTGCTGAATTCTGAATTTGCAATTGCTGTAATTTTCTTTTTGTAGACCATACCATTTTATACAGCATGCTGTGTTAGAAATGTATCTATAAGCAAGTTAATTATGACAGAAGAGTATAGATATATCAAACCCATACCTCTCAATTCATTGTAATCATATCATAGATATTCACAAATTAAAATCATGCAGATTGATGTAACAGTCACCATCATCATACTCAGATCCCAGAGGTTTTTTTTTTCTACTTTCTCTCTCACTCTCACAGAGGGCAGGAAATTATCTGTTCTTTTCCTGTAAGGAAAGCTTGGAAGAAATAAGAGAGACTCTAAAAATGACTTCTGACAGACAGGTGTCATTACAGTAACACCAAAGACTGTTCTCTTTTCTGTCTCAGTCCCCAGGGTATAGTGCTGAAATGAAGGAGGAATCTCTGGATGCTTACGAGTTCCCTAATGGTTCTGAATGGAAAAAACTTATGGGCCAGGGCCTCTTCAAAGTTGAATGAAAATGTTGTGGAATGTTGTATTTAGAAATTTTCTGTGTAGGAGAAAAAAGTAATTCTATTCCATATCACTCCAAAGCAATGACCCAAGGTTAATTTTTGCACTAATATTGCACCTTTGAGCCTCGGACAATTCCTCCTCATTAGTCCTAAACATCCATTAATGGGTACAAAACTAACTTTAAGAATTAATGAAGGGTTTTTAATCCAAAAGTATTTTTATTAGAGCAGTGAAACAAACATGATCAGTAAATATAAATATTACTTAATGAGTTAGTAGCAAATTAGAATTTGAAAGTAAAAATGTATATATAGCATTAGGAACCTCAAGGACCAACAAAATCCAGTACTGAAATTTGAATTTTTTTGGCCAAAGGTGGAATGTGTAAAATATTCTTTTTAATTGCATTAGTTGGCCCTTCATAATAGAAAATGTTATTTTTCTCCTTTGTGATGTACTCTTTCTGTTTCATGGACACTTAACAGTATGTGTACCCTTCAACTATTTTTGCTTTTTAGGTCATTATTTGTATTGTGTTTGCTAATAATGAAAAAAGAAATGTTGTGCTGATGATTGGTATGAAATAATTTTTTAATATGTAAATTATTTATGTTGCCAGGGTGACAAAATTAGTTGTGACTGTTTTAACGCTAGGGTGTTTGCTTTCATTGAAACTGTAGGGAGTTCCACAAATTCCAATGTCAACCTAAGCTATTCCATCATGTATTGACCCTTTTGAATACGGTAACTTGGGGGAGAGGGGGAGGGGATAAAATTGTTAAACACAATTAGTGAGACAGACAAGAGTTAAATAAACCAGATCTAATGACAGCAACCCTCATAAAAACCCTTAACACCTATCTTTTTAACCCTTTCACTCCCAAGATCTCAGCAGTGATTCTCCTTACTGTCTGCCTTGTAGTTTTTCTGGCAACAGTTTGGAGAAGCTAGCATTGGATCAACTAACAATCCCCTAATTGTTATTTTTTTCTATTCTCATCACATGTCTGCTTGATATTGCATTGATGTTGTAAGGAGAAATTCTGTGTTGGTCACTCATGGAATTTTAAGGGTTAAAGGTTCTTTTTTTAAAGCTCTACCTACATGCGAGTAACACAGTAAGATTATCTATGAACTTTATAATGGGCCTTGCCCACCATAGAGTTTCTGTGGCTCATTGATAGAGCATCGCAGGGCAGAATCAGAAGGTCTGAGGTTTGATTCCTCATAGGGACTCAGAATGTTTTCTTTGTCCCACGCTCGTGATTAGACGAAAAACATCCTTGTACACATCAAGACTTGCTCCTCATCAGAGTTCAGTGAAAGATACACCTTACTCACAGCACTCCGAATGGAAATAGAATTGGCCTCTGGGTTGATTTTAGGTGCATTCTTAGTGTCATTATCATAATGACTGTTTAGGTCATGATATATTTTGACTCGTGACTCAAGGGAGGGAGGAAAGAAAGGAGTTTGAGTAAATGTTTGAAACATACAGCAGTGGTGCTTCAAGACTCAGTTGAATCTCCTCCAGGTTCTTAAGAACAGCATCATTTATGCTTCTTCCCCTAACAGGTGAGACCTCGCTCCCTCCCCTTCAAGCTCTTAGGAGGGGTTATTGGGATCCGTTAGAAACCGTAATCGTGGAAGAAATATCGTTTAAAACCTGCAAAAAAAAATCAAAATCGAAAATCGCGCACAAAACCGTCAATTTTTCACATTCCAGTTATCAAAACCCTAATCGATCTGATACAGTGGTGACGAGTGAAGCATGCAGAAGTTTCGCAGCTTTTGGAGATCAGTGGAGGCGCATACTTGCCGCTTAGATCGAAGAGAAACCGTAACCCGAATATGAAAAACCGAAAACCACATCGTATACAAAATCCGAAAGCTCGTTGGTTGAAAAACAAATGCTCTAACTTAAAACGGAGAATCTGCAAACCGCAATTAGCTCCAAAACTAAAAAAAGCCGAAGTTGTCCGGCACAAAAAAACGAAAAACCACCCTAAAAATAGTAGCCAAAACCGAAAAACCCAAGGCCTCCCTGTCTAAGACTGACAAGGGATGCTCTCTTTATGGTTACTCTATGGAAATAGCGAGTATATCTGCATGAGTGACAAAATGCTTTTCAGACTTAACACTTGGTAATTGATTAAGAGTACAGTTGATTCATCTTAACGGAGCGATCTCCCTAATAAATATCTCGAGAATTAAATAGCAGAGGGCGTTAAATTTCAACGACATGTATGCCAATTTCAGCCCACTAAACATTCCTTCATTTTCTTTTATACGAGAAATCGACTCTGCAACCTAGATTTTATACAGACTTGGCAAACTGTGACTCACGTGTTTCTGTTTGTTTGTTGATGCTTTAGTTGTTGTCATAATCTTAGAAGAGAAGCCCGATTACCTTTGTGGAGGAAAAACAATCACTGTTCAAGTGGGGCGTTTTTCAACTTTTGTCGATTTTATTATCTCTGACAAACGATAAAATACAGTTTAACTTGCGACTGAAACTTTTCTGGCTGAAATCCTTTTGGAAGTTTCATCAGTTGTGGATGTTATGTTTTACAACTTTTTAAAGATCTTGAAGCCAGTGGTGGTATTTTCAGCGGCGCAAGAGGTTTTGCTGTTTGAGCTGCAGCTGCGAGGATAAAAATAGCCGCTTCTGTAATACAACCAGGCGCTATTATAAGCGAACGGGTATTTAAAGGCCACGATATCGCCGTACTGCACTGGAGTACCATCAGTAGCGTACCTG